GACTTTTAAATTATAAAATTTATTTAAGAAGTAATTTTTAGGTACAAAATTACTTTTAAGATGAGTTGTTTATTGCTACACAAATTGTAAATTTTAGGAGTTATTTTATTAGGAATTTTTTAGATTGAAAAATTAAGAATTAAATAGATCACACAGTGGTCTCCGTTTAGTTTTGGCAAATAAAATGTGCAGAACTTTGAACTCGTGAACAACACATTACTTTGAATACCATGAACCGCTGAACTGCTTCACTCAACTGTGTTAAAGGTGTTTAAAATATAATATATAACCATATAAAATAGTATTTAACTTATATACGCAATATAGTTTTTCGGCGAAGGGTGTGCGCTTGACTACCTGCGTAGGGCGGCTACACCACTGGTTCGAAGGATGACCGCTTTTTCTTGAGAATGTAACGTAGAAATAGGTTCTTCTGTAGTGAAACAAAGATCTAGGCAATCATTCTTCTGCCAATTATCCAATTTCAATATATCGAAATGATTCCACCAAGAGTAAGATATCTTTTGAACAACAAAAGGGGAAAATATTACCCGATTTAACGCGTATACAAGAGATGAGATTGTCCATCGCTACAATAAAATCTTAAGAGATAGAAATCCTTAAATATACAGAGAGGGGACACGAAAAACTAGCAAAGAACATGTTACAACAAATAGATCATACTAAGACTAAATGTTAATGCGTATCTGACTCTTCAATCAATCAAATCAAGCGTGTAATTCCATTTGAACATGAAAGTAGTCACTTGATCAACCTGAGACGTGTGTTTTATCCAATTATACCAAAGCGCGTCCATTTCCTTTTCACTTGTGTCTATGTTGTCTTCTTTTAATTCACCGTGCCAGTAAAAACACTTTGTTTTGGTATTATCTGGGTATACTATTAATGTAGCCATAAGATATAGAGAACAAGATATATGAATATAGGACAAGCATTCAACATAAAGCAAAATGGAGCGAAAAAATTTCCTGGAGTAGTTTGCTATTTGTACTTGAAGTATTGACATGGTCTTGGGATACATTTCCATTAAATCATGTTTGAATGATTCAAAATGCATCACTTTCTTTGCTCAACTGCCTCCTTCCATATGCAAAGTATCGAAGATTTGGAGCCTAGACTGTCAAACTTTTGAGTTTGCACAATACAACAACCAAACTCTCCAGATGTACTAGGCCAAAAACATGTAATTTATCATTGGTGTAGTCTAGTTCTTGACTAAGTACCAGATTAGGTCGTGAAGTCAAAAATTGTACTATCTCTTAGACAAGACACAAATTCTAACCGCGTCTTTTGGGGTCATTTCGGTCTGGCATAAGATCTAATGAATGATATGGAGAGGCAACTTTGATATTCTATCCTCGCTACAAATTCTTTTTGCCTCTATAATTTACACAGAATTACTAATGCTACTTACCCTTTCTGCTATACCTCTATTAAAGAGTACAATATTTCACATTCCTAGTGGAAATTGTTCACAAAAAGTAGGATATCATATGGAAATTTTTTGTGCCCGTACTTGATGTATATATCCTCTTCAATAATTTTCTCTAATTATCACCTTCAGTCATTTAGTCTAGGAAAATAATAATAAAAGGATATGTCGATCAATGTGGGGAAACTGTAATTTTTTATCACCTAGTAGTTGATAAGTTGGTTTTTTTAGCCAATGTCTCTTGTGTTTTTATAAGATTTTATGCCCCATTTATTGAAAAAAAGCAACTAATTATGCTTTGAATAGCTCGATTTCAGGTAATGAAGGTTTGAGTACGCTTAAAGAATGGAAAATAATAAAAAATATCAAGAAAAGATCAAGTCCAAGTAAGAAATGGAAGAAAAGTTTAAGTTTGAGCTGAAGACCCTGCGTAGGCTACGCAGAGGAAAACCTTAGAAGTAAAGATTTGAAGACATTCTGTTTTTGCCTACGCAAACCTGTGTAGGCTACGCAGATATCCTATGCAGAGGAAAAAGCTGAAGTGTTCAAACTTGCGTAGATTAGCCTACGCCCATGCATCTAGCCTATGCAATTGACCGAAGGGCAATTTTGTCCAGTCGTGGGGCTTAGTATAAATAGCTATTTTAAGTCATTCTAGGGTATTTTGTTTGGCAAGAATACTTTGTGCAGCAGCTTTTGGGATTCTTCTTTGGGAATTTTGGTGACTTCACCATTGTTCTATACAATCTTTCTTTCCTCTTAAGCTATTATGTTTAGTTTTTTTTATCTCTTTTTATATTTTCCTTTCTTAATATGTCTAGCTAAGTTTATTAAGCTAGGATTGTAAACCCTAAGTGTGGTTATATTTTTAGGTTATTAATATAAATTCGAAGTTTGATTAAGCTTTATGTTTTCTAATTACTGCATGTATTATTGATTGATTTCGTGGTTGCAAACACTAAATACATGCCTATTTTGCTTGTTCTAACTTGGAAGAGTAGAACTTAGCTTAGGTACAAGATAATTAGCAAGAAATTAAGTGGGTTAATCACTTGATTAACGAAATCTAACTAGGAATAGTGTGATTTTTACTTGGGCTAATCAATTGCTTATCATTGAGCCTTAGTTGTCTACGAAGAGTAACTTAGGGTAAAAACCTCTCAAGTGTTGGAAGATATTGAGTTGGTATAATAGAAATTGAGGCCATAACACTACTTAATTAACTAGAATTGAACATTTGTATACCCAAAAGCATAGCCTACACGAAGGGGAAGCAATCCTAGCGTCTTTCTCTTATTTGTTACTACATCAACTTATTTGCACTCTACGTGTGCCTTAGTCAAAGATTTAGTAGTAATTGTAGGCATAATTGATAACCACTCTTTGTTTGAAGATTACATTAAGAATAATCTAGTTTGCACGCATTTGGACTCTCTAACACACACCTACTCCTTGTGGGATTCGACCCCAACCTTTGTTGGGTTTATTATTGCTAACGACCGTGCTACTTTCATATAGAGAGTAGGATTGTACGTCACCAATTTTTGGCGCCGTTGCAGGGGAGTACAGTATTCTTGTGTTACTTTGTTATTGTGTGTTTTCTTGAGTTCTTACCTTTTCTTCGTGATACTTTGACTCGTGCGTGCTTGTTGTAGGTTACCAATGTCGAACAACAATGACCTTGGTGATTTGCCTCTTGGAGCCATTGATGAAGATATGATAGATGAAGAAGCAGCTTCGGTTCAAGGAAACCGGTGTGGTCGAGGGAAAAACCACCACCACCCTCCGCTGCATCCACCACCACCACCTCCACATGNATTATCAAATTACAAATGCCATGCTCACCTTGCTTGAGCAAATAGGCTACTTCACCGGGGTACTTTATCAAAATGCATACAGGCACTTAAAGGGATTCGTAGATACTTGTTGGGGAAGTAAGCAGACAAATGTATTCGAGGACGCTTTAAAATTAAGGTTATTTCCTTTCTCCCTAAGAGGAAAAGCCTTGGATTGGTTGGAGCGCTTACCAAACTATTCTATCCATATTTGGAATGAGTTGGCGGAGAAATTTATTGCCAAATTCTTCTCACCTGGGCACATGGCTACATTGAGGGATGAAATCTTGGCATTCAAGCAAGAACCGAATGAGCCACTACACAAAATTTGGGAAAGCTATAGAACCATGGTGAAGGAATGTTCTAACAACGATATTACCGAGAACATGTTTCAACAAACCTTCTACCGTGGGATTAATACAACCAATCAATATGTAGTGAACCAACTTGTCGGTGGAAACTTTATGACCACGCCTTACCCGGAGGCTTGTGTCTTACTTGATGAGATAGCAGAGACATCATCCGCTTGGCAATCCCGAGCGAGTGTGCCTCAAGGGGATCCGAATATGATTCACCTCAACAAGGAGTTGCATGATCATGGTCAAGCCATTGCCGAGTTTACCACCACTATGAATCAACTTGCAAAAGCACAACTTCAACAAACTCAAGCGTCACGGCAAGTACATGCCATGGAAGGTGTTCATGTCTTGGGTTCTAAGCAAAAGATGAAGGGTAATCAACATCTACCTCAAGAGAAGATGTACTCACAAGATGATGGGTGCTACACTCAAGATGATTCTTATCAAGAAAAAAATGAGGAAGTTCAATTTGTAAGCAATTATAAAAATTAATGAGGTAACTTTCAACGATTTAGATAAGGACAATGGAGGCCGAGTAATAAACCAAGGCTCTTGGGGAAATAACAATCAAGGAAACCAAGGTTGGAGTGACGGTAGTCGAGGTGGTGGAGCTTCCCAACAATATAAACAAAGATTCTACCAACCTCCTCCGTACAATAACCAAGGTGACTCTTCAACTGATAACTAACTTTTAGGGATGATGGAAATGATGCTCAAGAATCAAGAGCAATCCGACAAATAGAGGCGAGAAATGAATCAAGTGGTAGCTTCTCATACCATTTCAATAAAGCAAATTGAGACTCAATTGGGTCAAATATCTTCTTAATTGAATGTGAGACCACAAAGATCATTTCCTAGTGACACAATTCCAAATCCAAAGAGAGATGAGGGTATAAAGTGAGTGTTTGCCATTTTCACAAGGCGAAGCAAAATTCTAAATAAGAGATCCATTATAGTTAACGATGATGATGACGAAGAGGAGTTGCCTCTCAAATATGCTTTTCCTAAGGTAAAGAGTCCCAAAGTTCCTATGGTGGTTCTTTCCAAGGTTGATGATCCTCCTAAAGTTGATGAAGTTCCTAAACAAGATGTACCTCTCATGGTCAATGAGAGGCCCGAGGTGATTGAAGTTCCCAAGGGTGTGGTTCCAATAGTAAGTTCAATTGTTGTTGAAGAGGTGCACCAAGCACCTCTCAAAATGAAAATGAAGTCCCTTCAAAAGAGAAAGAACCAATCAATGAGGCAAGCAAAGAGGCACCTAGATTGTACAAGCAATTACCGAGACCGCCTCCTCCGTTTCCACAAATATTTGCAAAGCAACAACAAGAAGGCCAATTGAAAAAGTTCTATGATATGTTGAATCAAATCACCATCAATGCACCTTTTGTGGAAGCTCTTGAAAAGATGCCCGGTTATGCTAAATTCATGAAGGACATGGTCACTAAGAAGAAGAATGTTAATTTTGAGACCATCAAGGTCACCCACCAATGTAGTGTAATCATCTCACAAATCGGGGTTAAGAAGATGGAAAACCCCGGGGCTTTCACTATTCCTTGTGCTATTGGGTTGACAAGCTTCGCAAAATCTTTGTGTGATTTGGGGGCAAGAATCAACTTGATGCCTTATACCATTTTCAAGAAGTTGGGCTTGGGTGACCCAATGCCGACATCAATGAAATTATTAATGGCGGATCGTACTTTGAAGAGACCACTTGGTGTGATTGATGATATTCTTGTCAAAGTGGATAGATTCTACTTCCCCCGGATTTTGTGATTCTTGATTGTGAAGTTGATGTAGAAATCCCGATCATTCTTGGTAGGCCTTTATTAGCTACCGGGAGGGCCATATGTGATGTTGAAGTCGGAGAGCTCAAATTTCGGTTGAATGATGAAGAAGTGGTATTCCATATCCAAAAATCAATGAAGCATCCACATGACTATGGAGTGATATCCGTGATTGATGTGGTCGATGAAGTGGTAGATGAGGATATGCAAGAAATTTGTATGGATGAAACTTTGTAGGCGGTTCTACTCAATTCGGAGAATGAGGCAATGGATGGTTACATTGAAGCCGTGATGGATTTGGAGGGACTTGGTTCCTACTCTTACAATCCCGCAAAGTTGTCCCTTGATTTGGAGAATCGGGTTACTCCTCCTACTAAGCCATCTATCATTGAGCCACCAAAGCTTGAGTTGAAGCTTTTGCCTTCACATTTGAGGTATGAATTTCTAGGCCCTAATGAATCTTTGCTCGTTATTATCTCATCCTCTTTGTCTAGTGTGCAGGTTTCTTTATTGCTTGATGTTCTCAAAAAGCACAAGTTGGCATTAGGTTGGACCATTGCGGATATCCGGGGGATAAGTCTGTCCTTTTGTATGCACAAGATCAACTTGGAGGAAGGGGTTAAGCCAAGTGTAGAACACCAAAGAAGACTCAATCCTCCTATGCAAGAAGTGGTCAAGAAGGAAATCATAAAATGGTTAGATGCCGGAGTAGTGTATCCAATCTCGGATAGCACTTGGGTGAGTCCGGTACAATGTGTGCCAAAGAAAGGGGGGGTGATCGTGGTTCTCAATGATAAGAATGAGATAATCCCAACAAGGATCATCACTAGATGGAGAGTTTTCATGGACTATAGGAAGTTGAACAATGCCACCCGAAAGGATCATTTTCCACTCCCTTTTATTAACCAAATGTTGGATTGGTTAGCGGGAAGGTCTTTCTATTGATTTCTTGATGGTTACTCGGGCTACAACCAAATTCAAATTTCCCCCGAAGACCAAGAGAAGACAACTTTTACATGTCTTTATGGCACTTTTGCCTTTAAGAGGATGCCGTTTGGTCTTTGTAATGTCCCGGCTACCTTCCAACGGTGTATCATGGCTATTTTCACCGACATGGTAGAGGATTTTCTTGAGGCATTCATGGATGACTTTTCCGTTGTGGAAGACTCTTTTTATAGGTGTTTGGCTAACTTGGCCAAGGTGTTGAGAAGATGTGAAGAAACAAATCTTGTTTTGAATTGGGAGAATTGCCACTTTATGGTGGAAGAAGGCATTGTGCTTGAGCGTAAGGTGTGCAAAAAGGGTATTGAAGTCGATCCGGCAAAGATTGATGTTATTGCCAACTTACCTCCTCTAAATACCGTAAAGGGGTGTAAGAAGTTTTCTAGGGCATGCGGGATTCTATCAGAGGTTCATCAAGGACTTCTCAAAAGTGGTGAACCCAATGTGTAAATTGTTGGAGAAAGATGCCAAGTTTCACTTTGATGAGGCATGTATGGTAGCTTTTGAGGAACTCAAACGGCATTTAACAACCGCTCATATCATTCAAGATCCTAATTGGGGGTTGCCATTTGAATTGATGTGTGATGATAGTGATGTCGCCGTGGGAGCGGTGTTGGGACAAAGAGTGGGCAAGCTTTTCCATCCCATTCACTATGCTAGCAAAACAAAGAATGCCTCTCAAATGAACTATACAGTAACTGAAAAAGAACTTCTTGCAATTGTTTTTGCTTTTGACAAGTTTCGTTCTTATCTTGTAGGTTCAAAGGTGGTGGTACATTCGGACCATGCCGCAATCTGGTACCTTTTGGCAAAGAAGGAGTCCAAACCAAGGTTTCTTAGATGGATATTACTCTTGCAAGAGTTTGACTTGGAAATCAAGGATAGAAAGGGCACATAAAATCAAGTGGCGGACCACTTGTCTCATCTTGAGTTGGGGAGGAGACCTTTGGAGGTCGAGTAGATCAATGAATCCTTCCCCGATGAATAAGTCTTTGCAACCACAATTATAGTAGAAGATGAGTTGCCACGGTATGCCGACATGACTAATTTCTTGGTGAGTGGGTTACTGCTTCTAGATCTTCGTTCATACCAAAAATAGAAGTTTTTGAGGGATAGTGACTCCTACTATTGGGAGGAACCATATTTGTTCAAGATATGTGTTGACAACATTATAAGAAGATGTGTTCCAAAAGAGGAAGGGATGCCGATCTTGAGGGCTTGCCATGAATCTCCTTATGGTGGACACCATGGAGGAAATAGGACCGCAACTAAGGTTCCAAAGTGTGGATTCTATTGGCCCACTTTGTTCAAAGATGCCAACACTATAACCAAAGCTTGTGATCAATGCCAACGTCAAGGCAACATCTCAAGAAAGAATGAAATGCCTTTGAATCTGATTGTGGAGGTATAGTTGTTTGACGTGTGGGGAATTGACTTCATGGGGCCGTTTGTGAGCTCCTACAACAATAAATACATCTTTGTGGCAGTTGACTATGTATCAAAGTGAGTGAAAGTGGTATCTCTACCAAACAATGAAGCAAGAAGTGTCACCGCATTCCTCAAGAAGAATATTTTCACAAGGTTCGACACTCCGAGAGCTATTATAAGTGACGATGGTTCTCATTTTTGTAATCGATCGTTTGCCACTTTACTTGAGAAATATGGAGTCAATCACAAAGTTTCCACACTATATCACCCACAAACAAGTGGGAAAGTTGAAGTTTCAAATCGTGAGATTAAGAGCATTTTGGCCAAAACTGTCAATACTAATAAGACGGATTGGCCAAGAAAACTTTATGATGCTCTTTGGGCATATAGAACGGCTTACAAGACACCAATATACATGTCTCCATATAAGTTGGTATTTGGAAAGGCTAGTCATTTGCCGGTGGAGTTGAAGCACAAAGCTTTATGGGCCCTGAAAAAGCTCAACTTGGAATGGGTCGATGCGGCAAACGTAAGAGTCTCTCAACTTAATGCGATGGATGAATTTCGGTTCCAAGCATATAAGAGTGCTTTATTATACAAGCAAATAATGAAGTATCTCCACGACAAGAATATCATGAAAAGGGAATTCCACCCCGGGGACTTGGCTGTTCTTTACAATTCTAGATTTAAGTTGTTCCCGGGCCATTCAAGGTTGTGCATGTTTACCCATTTGGTGCCGTGGATTTGGAGTCCGATGATGGTAAAAGGATTTTTAAAGTGAATGGACAATGAATTCGGCATTATTTGGTTCCCGTTATTACAAGAAAAGTGGTCTCAGAAGTTGAGTTGGGGGAACCCTCAATAACATCTTAAGTTGTGTTCGCTATGGTATCGTGCCACGACGTTAAATGTAGTGCTTGGTGGGAGGCAACCCATCGTTTGCAAGTTTTTAGTAAAAAAAAAAGATTTATTTATTTTTTCTTTTTCTTTCTTGCATTTTGATTTTATCTAGAGTAATTTTGTGTGTTTTGTTCTTGTGCTTTGATGATTTTGATGTTTAAGTATGTGTAGGCAGAGTGTTGGAGGGAAGGAAGTGACTCAATTTTACTAAGTGTGCAATAATGATAGAGTGGATAGTGGGCCGCTTACTGATTAGCACATAGTTTCTCCCGTTCACTACCCTACGAGTATGATTAGGACACCACATCCAGGAGAGCTTAGCGTCGAGGAGCTCAAATTAGTTCGGATGCCACCCCGCTTGGATTGAAGGAGTATTTCCTTAGCGTACCCTTATACTTGTTTTAATTGCATTGAGGGCAATGCAAATTTTTATTTATAGGGGAAGGGTATTGATGAATTTTGGTATAATTAACACTTTTTGTTGCCATTAGTTGGCGTTATTTTTTTTTTTAGTCATTTCTCTTCTTTTATTTTTATTGGTCTTTTGTTTTACATTTTCTACGAATTAGAAATAACCTCATTGGGTTTTCTTTGCCATGGTTCTTTCCCAAAGATACAACCTGAACCGGGAATATTTTTATTTTTATTAGTGTCGATGTCCCAAAGTTAAGCTTTGACTTGTTTGGTACCAACACTACTTAGATGTAATCCTTGAAACAACTTTCCATGAAATGCATATTTTTGAAAATTGTAGAAAGTAGTTGAGTTGGTTATTCTTGGCATGATCTTTAGGTTCCATTGTTAGCCTTAATGTCACTATATAGCTTTTAGGCTATGGCAACCTTTTGCGTTCATGTGTTTCAATTGGGCTTTGAATACATTTATCTGCTTTGAGCGTACATGAGCCATGTGAGGTGAGGTTATTGAGTTCTTTTGTGTCAATTATAGTCTAGAACTTGCCCCAAGTGTGTTTCAAGACGAAATTCTAGGTTGTGCTTGGTTTAAAAAATGAATTTAGGCTTTCTTTGGACCGCTTGTGCCTTTAATTACTTACCCTTGATAAGATTATCCTAGTCAACCCTTTTGAACATTTAGCCTTTTATTGTCAACCACATTATAATCCCTTTTCCCTTCTTATGCTAACCTCTTTTTATGCCTCGACTTTCTTAAGCACTTAAAATTATAATCTAGGCCAAAAGCCTAAGTTTGGGGAGGAGGTGGAAAAGTATGATGTGGAAGCTACTTGAAGGTGAAGCAACAAAAAAAAAGAGTTGAAATAAAAAGGGAAGACTAAAGACTCATGACAAAGGTGGTGATCACAAAAGGAAAGCCTTGCGAACTAAGGAGCTTTAATGGTGTAACTAAATCATTTTGCCTAGTTGAAAATGAGAGCAAAAAGGGTGGAATTTTGAAAGGAATTGTGTTTTGAATTGTCAAGATTGGAGTGCTTAGGAAGGTCGTAATTACTCTTTACCCATATTGATGCCTTACCTCCAACCAAAAACCTACAATACTTTCTCGCAAGTCCTAAATGATTTTGAACTAGGCACACATATATTAGTGGAGATTTACGTGAGGGGCAAGCCTATGGCACTACTTTTGTACATTTGAACTTCTTTTGTAAGAGAGAGTGCTTACTTCTTTTGATTCATATCCCACTTTGCTTTGAAAATATCATAACGTGTGTGTGAGAATCTCTCTTGATTTGCGAGGGCACATAAAAACTCGGGTGTGATTAATGTTTCTTTTCTCAATTGGGACACATGAACAAAGGAAAGTGGCCTTGTGACTTAAAGATAACTTTAGAAGCTTTGGAATCATAGTTTGAAAAATTTTCTTGACTTGTTGAGTACTCATGTGGTTTTGAAATTTAAAGTCTTTGGAAGTTGTTGAGGGGTCATGCAGTTGAGAATAGTTGTGGTACCAATCGAAGTCATGGATTTTTGTGCTTGACTGCTTCTTAGCTTGGTTGTGATGCTAGCTTTAGCTTGTGAATTTAATTGTTTAATAGTTTCAATGAATTGATGCCTAATTTTGAGTCTTGATTTGGTTGAGGACAACCAAATTGTAAGTTTGGGGGAGTTGATAAGTTGGCTTTTTAGCCAATGTCTCTTGTGTTTTTATAAGATTTTATGCCCCATTTATTAGAAAAAAGTAACTAATTATGCTTTGAATGGCTTGATTTCAGGTAATGAAGGTTTGAGTACGCTTAAAGAATGGAAAATAATCAAAAATATCAAGAAAAAATCAAGTCCAAATGAAAAATAGAAGAAAAGTTGAAGTTTGAGCTGAAGACCCTGCGTAGCCTTGCGTAGGCAAACTTGCATAGGCTACGCAGAGGAAAACCTGAGAAGTAAAGATTTGAAGACATTCTGTTTTTGCCTACGCAAACCTGCGTAGGCTACGCAGATATCCTACGCAGAGGAAAAAAACTGAAGTGTTCAAACTTGCGTAGGCTACGCAATTAGCCTACGCCCATGCATCCAGGCTACGCAATTGACCGAAGGGCAATTTTGTCCAGTCGTGGGGCTTAGAATAAATAGCTATTTTAAGTCATTCTAGGGTATTTGTTTTGGCAAGAATACTTTGTGCAACAACTTTTGGGATTCTTCTTTGGGGATTTTGGTGACTTCACCATTGTTCTACATAATCTTTCTTTCCTCTTAAGCTATTATGTTTAGTTTTTCATCTCTTTTTATATTTTTCTTTCTTAATATGTCTAGCTAAATTTATTAAGCTAGGATTATGAACCCTAAGTGTGGTTATATTTTTGGGTTATTAATATAAATTCGAAGTTTGATTAAGCTTTATGTTATCTAATTACTCCATGTATTATTGATTGATTTCGTGGTTGCAAACACTAAATCCATGCCTATTTTGCTTGTTCTAACTTGGAAGAGTGGAACTTAGCTTAGGTACAAGGTAATTAGCAAGAAATTAAGTGGGTTAATCACTTGATTAACAAAATCTAACTAGGAATAGTGTGATTTCTACTTGGGCTAATTAGTTGCTTATCATTGAGCCTTAGTTGTCTTGGAAGAGTAACTTGGTGTAAAAACCTCTCAAGTGTTGGAAGATATCGAGTTGGTATAATAGCAATTGGGGCCATAACACTGCTTAATTAACTAGAATTGAATATTTGTATACCCAAAAGCATTGCCTACACGAAGGGGAAGCAATCCTAGCGTCTTTCTCTTATTTGTTACTACATCACCTTATTTGCACTCTACGTGTGCCTTAGTCAAAGATTGAGTAGTAATTATAGACATAATTGACAACCACTCTTTGTTTGAAGATTACATTAAGAATAATCAAGTTTGCATGCATTTGGACTCTCTAACACACACCTACTCCTTGTGGAATTCGACCCCAACCTTTGTTGGGTTTATTATTGCTAACGACCATGCTACTTTCATATAGAGAGTAGGATTGGACGTCACCAGTAGTTTGAACTTCAAAACCTGTGATTTTCAACTTTGATCTCGTTGATGTGTATTTGATTCTTAAATGGCTAAACAATAAAAACTTCATAATACCTGGTTATCCTTTAAATAATGGTCCTCCAAATGGCTATTTGTGCACTTGTCCCGACTAACCCTCATCACACAAGGTGGACTTTTCTTTAAATACAAATCGGTCGCACAAAGGACATACGTAGGCTAGCATTATCTGCTTAAGATGATGGAGGCAAAAAGTATTAGTGGCGAGGATAGAATATCAGAGTTGCCTGTGCAAATCATTTATCAGATCTTATACCAGACTGAAATTACCCCAAAAAAGGCGGCTCAAACTTGTGTCTTATCCAAGAGGTGGTATAATTTTTGGATTTCACGGCCTAATCTGGTACTCAATCACGAACGAAAATCTTGGGAAAATTTTGTCAACTTTGTTGATCAGTCCCTACGACCCCATGTTGAAAAACATTTATGTCTAGAGCAATTTAGCATTAAATGCGAATATCATCACAAAAAATTGGCTTCTGCTATAGATCGTTGGATTGATTTGGTGGTTAAACTTAACGTCAAAGTACTAGAGCTTCACCCTTGGAATTCTGATACGTACTACTATAGTTTACCTGATGCTATTTATGCAGCTAGAGAACTGAAAACATTGACACTAGAGAGGTGTAAGTTTGAATTTGATATTAGCACAACTAAAATCATAACATTCTGTAATCTAAAAATCCTTGATTTGCGGAGTGCCCATATATTAGAAGACCAATTGCAAAGACTTCTCGCCAGATGCCCATTCATCAGGACTCTACAACTAGTTAATTGCCAGGGTATAAACAAATTACATGTTTTTGGCCTAGTACATTTGGAGAATTTGGTGGTTGTATTGGGTGTATTGGACAGTCTCAAAAGCTTGATAGTCCAGGCTCCAAATCTTCGATACTTTGGATGTGGAGGGATGGCACAATTAAGCAAGGGAAGTGAGGACAATCTTGTTCCTTGCAACATTGCAATTGTGGATGCTTACAATACTTTTGAAACACTCAAACTCTGGGATGTCATCACAGAGAAACTGTTTCAAGACATGTTCTCTAAGCACTCAAACATTTTTGAATTGGATCTAGAAAGTTGCTATGAGCTGAAAAATATAGAGATTGTGAGCGAAAAACTCAAGAAGTTGACCTTATCGAAGTCGAGGAATCTGGAACAAGTCAAGATTCAAGCTCCAAATTTGACGGAATTTGTTTCTGAGGGTGACAAAATTCCCTTCGACCTTCCTCACTTTGTTCAAAAGTCCAACTATTCTAAAGGTCTCATACTAGCAATATTTTGCGAGAAGGTAAGAGTTTTCAATCTTTTTTTGCTCCATGAGTCTCAAAATAAAATTTTAGTTGTTTGTTTTACTTCTTGAATTTGGTTAAAATTTTAGTCATTGACAATATTGCAGACAAACCATCTTTATATATGAAGATCCAAAAGAAATTGTTGTTCCTCCATTTGATAAAGTCAGGATACTATTTAGACCTGTGAAGCATCTTGAATCATTCATACATGATTTAATGACAATGTATCCCAAGACCATGTCAATACTTTCTATTACAAATAGCAAACTACTCCAGGTAATTTCTTGCTTTATTTGGATATCCTTTCAAACGTGTAGCTAGCTAATGTTGGATATTAGACTTTATTTTTAAATGTTATACAATCAGATCATACAAAAAATATGTGCAGGTAAAAGTGGAATTAGACTTCTAAAACATAAGGTAGGTAACTTGTTACAACATGTCAAAATAGGCATTTGCTTAATGTTGATTGATTGTCCTATAATCATTAGTCTATTCTTTGTATCTTATGGTTTTGTCAAATACACAGGTGCTGCCTACCTTAATAGGATGCCCATATGATGCCAAAACCAAGCGTTCCTACTGGCAGCGTCGATTGAAAGAAGTCAGTACGTACACAATTGAGAAGGAAATGGACGCCCTTCGGTATAGTTGGTTAAAGTCCACGCCTCTGTTTGATCAAGTGACTACTTTCATGTTCAAATGGTAATAACAAGCTTGGTATGATTCTCTCAAGAGCCACAGATACATCAGCATTAGTTTTAGTATGTTCAGACTTAGTATGATTGTCTAGAGAGTCGTATATAAATCCAGCATTTAGTCTGAGTTAGTATATAATATGATCTATTATATATAAACGTGATTCTGAAAGCAGTGAATTCAGTTGAACTTATTAAACTCAACCTAGATTTGCCTATCTGGTTCTGCCTAGTATGATCTATTATTCCATATCAATCCATAATCCACTGAAACCCGAGCTTCCTGAGAACGCAACACAAGAATGTCCGGTCCGCACTGTCATAGACCTTGGCCATGTCAAGTTTGATAACAATGTTACCTGCTCACAATATTTTCAGTTCCCGAGCCAGAAAAATATTTTCAGTGCTTGGCCTATTCTTCACAAAGTCGCTATTGTTTTGGAATATGAATTTAGGCAAGATCAAAGACAACTTGAGATTCAAGAGTTTAGATAATATCTTGCTAGAATAAGTACAAAAACTTATGGGCTTAAGGTCAGACAAGTCTACTGAGTGCTTTGATTGTCATCATCTGTAATAGAAGCCTGAATGTTAATGATTAAATCAAGATCCTTGTAGCTAGCTTCCTGTGTGAAAACATCTTCTGAAAAAATTGAGCAGCAGCACTTGAGATATCATCCCTTTTGTCCAAGCTAGACTCCATGTTCATTTTTTTGAAATTTTCTGAATGTTGAGTTTCCTTCTTTTGAACCGGAGCCTTAGAGCAATGGTAAAGTTATCTCCTAGTGACCAATAGGTCACATGTTCAAGCTATGGAAACAGCCACCAATGCTTGCATTAGGATACGCAGTCTACATCATACCCCTTGGGGTGCGCCTCTTCCCGAGATCATGCGTGAATATGAGATACTTTATGCACTAGACTGCCCCTTTCTTTGTTGAGTTTCCTTCTTTTATCTTTGGTATAATATATAAACAAACACCTTAACTTGGCCTCAGCTGTTAGTTACATACTTAGACTTACCGAGTGACCTTTTAGACAAGTTGGTAGAGGTATATCTCGTGAACACCTGAATCTGACATGGCATCACGTGTGTGTTATCCTCGCAATTGAGCGCGGTTTCAACTAAAAAAGTATTGTAAAATTCTTTTATTACCCTTATAAAATACCTTTATTTCACCCCAAATGCACCTACCATTCTTCTTCATCTTTATGGTTAGCCAACCATTGTTAAAGCACCATTAAAACCTTTAAATGCAATAGTGTAGCAGTACCCAGGCTGTTAATTCTTAAATGCCACTATTCAATCGGCTGAATCACTCTTGTAGAACTAGTGACATCATCTTCTCCACACCAAAAAAGTGTCTAATCCATCAACATGGCAAAGTTCCCTCGTCCAACAAGGATTACACAAGGTACTAGATATTGATGTCAAAAAACCTGATACCATGAAAGCTGAGGATTGTGATGACTTGGATGAAAGGGCTGCTAGTGCAATCAGGTTGCACTTATCAGATAATATGATAAATAACATTATTGATGAATACACCGCATGTGGCATTTGGACAAGGTTGGAAAGCCTATACATGTCCAAAATGCTAACAAATAAATTGTACCTGAAGAAGCAGCTATACGCCCTACATATGGGTAAAGGTACGAATTTTTTGTCACATTTAAATGTGTTTAACGGACTAATCACACAGCTCGCCAACCTCGAAGTAAAAATCGAGGAAGAAGATTAAGCCATCTTGTTATTCAACTCATTGCCATCTTCATACGATAATTTGGCAACAACCATCCTGCATGGTAAGACTACCATTGAATTGAAAGATGTCACATCGGCTCTTCTACCTAATGAGAAGATGGGAAAGAAGTCTGAAAATCAAGGACAATCTCTCATCACAGAAGGTAGAGGTATGAGTTATCAAAGCAGTTCGAGCAACTATAGTAGATTCAGAGCTCGTGGGAAGTCGAAGAACCGCTCCAAATCAAAAGCCATAAATTGCTACAATTGTGATCAACCAGGTCACTTCAAAAGAGATTGCCCAAATCCAAGGAAGGGCAAAGGTGAAATCAGTGGCCAGAAGAATGACGACAACATATCTGCTATGGTGCAAAACAATGATAATGTTATTCTTTTCATAAATGAGGAAGAAGAATGCATGCACTTGGCATATCAAGAGTCGGATTGGGTGGTTGACACAATGACATCTTACCATACCACATCGGTAAGAGATCTTTTTTGCAGATATGTAGCAGGTAATTTCGGCACTGTGAGAATGGGTAACACAAGTTACTCAAAGATTACCCGAAGTAATGTTATGTTTCCAAGACATGGAGGAAGATTTCCATGGAAGTTGTTGAAGCTGAGACTTAGTTCTTCCAGATATTTTAGATTGCATAAACCTATATGAAAAACAAATAGCTAACTGTTATTACATGTCTATATTGCAGCCTTTGCAGAAAATATAGGAAACATGCAAACCAAACTGCTAGGAAACTTCAAACAAAGATGGTAAGTGAGAAAAGTAAAATGAAGTAAACTGTGTTATGTTAACTCAGACAAACATATGCTCTTAATCAATTGTTACCTACAATAATGTGCGCGGAATATTCCTTGTCAAGCTAAGCACTTCAATTGAAAATATATCATTCATTCTAATTGCAGTTGGTTGTTTAAGATTACCTGGAATAGGTAGGGTTCCATTCAGGCCGCAGTTAGATACTGATAATACTTTAAGGGATGACATGACAACACTGCTCTGTAGAAAGTTTTTGTCCAACGTATTCCCATCCAAAAGTAAATACTTTATATTTCTCAGAATTCCCAACTCTTGCATGTAAAAGAAACACAAAAGAATCATCAACACATAGTTCATTATAGGTTTGCAAAGTTATGCTTGTAATTAGTGTTACTGATGACAATAAATATGTCAAAATCATAGCATGCATATTTTAAATGTTGTTTAAAAAAGGGGATGACTAAATGCTTTGAAAATTTTTGGTATTTGTAAGTATTTCCAGCAAATTTTACTTTTAGCTACCATAAGACTATAATTTTCTAAGTTGTCGGACTCTCAGGAAATGTTACCAGGCGCATATCAGATCCTCCAAAAGTACACTACTTTTGGAGGATCTAACAAGGGTGTGGCCGCATTTCGGGGACTCCGCGCAACATTGATAAAATTTTAGGATTTGAAATCTGAAAACGGTATTAAAATACTATGGATTTCAAACATTTTTAATTCAAATGGAGCCCTTGTAAGTGGGGTTTTTTGCGGTTTTCAATTCTTTTGATTTTTGAGCTTGATATTTTGATTGAGTTCATAATAAGCTATATCTACATCGCATACACATAATTACGACACGATCATCTGAAAATAACAAACTCAAGGAACAAAATGTACCTTCAAAGTTGTACTAAATGTATTTAGCTCTGCCCAAGTATTTATAAACTGTTATCAGTAAACTTCCGCAGGTAGGAACAAAAGCAGCAACGGTAAAAGGGAAAATGATCAAATTTACCCATTTATAGAACGAAATATCTTAATTTTATAATCCGTTACGTTTGAAGTCATTCATACCCTTGACGTTAGCAAATTGTATCATTTTGCATTGACTTTAACGGAGATCTAGCATGGATTGAGTGAATTTTTTTCACATATCAAAATACTTTGAGAAAAAGGTTCATATTTACCCAATATGGACTTTTCCCAAAGTATTTTGACACGTGGAATTCATCCAATCCACATTGGATCTCCGTTAAAGTCAAGGACACATACGAGACAATTTGCTAAGGGCAAGAGTATGAATAGCCCCAACGTATAATGAAGAGTAAAATTAAGATATTTCATAGGGTAAAAAAGTGTTTTTGACCCTTTTCCCAAAGTAAAAGGGTAAAGAAAGTTCTATAAAGAGAGAAATTTCTACCTAGAGCAGAGAGAACACTTTCATCATTCAATCTGTTAACGCTTAGATCTAAGATTTCCAGATTGCTTAACCCTGTCAATCTTTCATTACCTGAAAATTAAGATAATTGATGAGTTACATATGTAATAGTTGATTTGGGGATATTAAAATAGTTTAAATTAAGTGGTAAACAGAGGAAATTAATCACAAGTTGTAACCTGATTCAATGTTGTTACGTCCGAGGTTCAATGACTTGAGAGATGTAAGTTGACTAAGAGATAGAAATATGCTGCGATTGAAGTTGTTCCCAGCCAAATCAAGCTTTTCGAGTTTTGTTAGTTGTTTCAGTTTTTCGAAACCTGTAAATAAAGTGATCAAAAAATTATTTTGTGTACTGACAGTTATAAGTTTTTCACAGCCTGAGGTTAAGTTGACATACGACAAACAAAGAACTCTTTATACAGTAGCAACTATGATAACCTGAAAAATAGAATAATAACCTGCTATATTCGACAAATTTTAATAGTGTTACAAAAATTACACCGCCACTATCTATAACTTAAGGAAGCGAGTCTTGGAGCAACAATAGTTATCTCCGTGTGACCTATAGGTCATGGATTCGAGCCGTGGAATCATCCATTGATACTTGTATCAGGGTAGCCTGCCTACATCACACCCCTTGGGGTACAATCATTCCCCGAAGCCTGTGTGAATACGGATACTTCGTACGCCGGGCTGCCCCTACTGTATATAACTTAAATCGTATGGGAAAAATATTCACCAAAATCATATGGGAAGCTTTACACCATTTTAGTGGTGCTACAAGATTGGAGGCTAACCTGGAGAAATCTAATATTTTTATTGCTGGTGTGGATGAAGATACAAAAAGTGCATTATTTGCCAGAACTGGTTTCTCTGTTGGACAACTTCCTATAAGATACTTGGGACTACCACTAAGCTCAAAGAAATAGAGTAAAATTGAGTGTCATCAACTAGTGGATAAGATCACCAATAGAATAAATGTTGTCTACTCAAAACAATTATCATATGCTGGGAGGCTACAAGTGATTAATGCAGTGCTCTTCTCTATATACAACTTTTGGGGATCTGTGTTCATACTACCGCAAAGTGTACTGAAGGAAATTGATAGACAGTGTAGAGACTACCTTTGGGGAAGTTCTGTAGAGAAAAGGAAGATACCTCTAATAGCCTGCGACAAAATATGTATTCCAAAGAAATGTGGTGGACTCAATATCAGAGGGTGCAATAAGTGGAACATTGCTTCTGTGGGCAAGTTATTATGGCAATTACCAGTGAAGAAAGACATGTTATGGGTCAAATGGGTACATGGAGTGTACATGAAAGCAAATAATAACATATGGGCACATGTACCTCCACTTGATTGTAGTTGGTATTGGAGGAAATTGAATTCCCTAAAGGTTGAAATGATGGAGTGGTACCATAACGGGAAATATGTGTTAACTGCTTCTGGGAAATATGCAATAAATAGTAGCTACATTGCTCTACAGGGGGATTTGCCCAGACTACTAGTGGCAGAGTTAATATGGACCTCTATTATGCAGCCGAAACACAGGATGATTCTTTGGTTAGCTGCTCATGGTCGATTGCTTACAAAAGATAGACTTTTGAAACTACATGCGCTAGTACAAGACACCGAATGCTGCTTATGCAATGATATGGTTGCTGAAACCCAAGACCACCTGTTTCAGGATTGTCTATGGACAACTGAATTGAGGGTAGCTATACAGAAATGGACTGATATGATAATACCACGAGGGACTGTAATGCAGGTGCTGGAAAAGATTAAAAGAAAGCACCGGAGGTTCTTCAAAAAGGAAGTAGCTGCAGCAATTTGGGGGGCCCTGATCTATCACACCTGGAAAGCCAGGAATGGAAAAGTATTTAAAGGAATCAATGTAAATACTAGCTTTGTGATGACACAGATGCAAAAGGAATTTAGAGGTAGAAATAGAATAGATGTACTCAGGAACTCAAGGAAAGCTAGAGGTTGCAATTATTTGCTACAACAACTCTGTAATTAGTCATTGGTTAGAGGCCTATGAGTACATTGCACCCTTCCTAGAAGGTGGTAGTGTGTCTAGGTGTTTTTTAGGATGTACTAATTTGGTTGTTAAATGGTAATATTTCACAGTTATTACCAAAAATAAAATCTACCTTTACTGCTTCTCAGGCATATTTACAAACAGTTAGAAGACGAACCTTCATCCTCAATCCAATTAGCTATAGAATATCCACGGAGGAGAAGAGCTTTAAGATTCTTGAAAGGAAGAAACAAAGATGCATTGAAATGCCAATTTCCCCAATTATCAGTATTTGAACTTTCAATACCAGAAATATCCTCTTTAATAAAAGTCTTCACAGATATTGACAACTCTGTGACTTTTCTGCTACTGTTGCTGCAAATAATTCCTTCCCATTGACAACAATTTGAAGTTTCATTAGCTACCCATGTTGAAAAATATGAACCATTTGTGTAGTTTATGTTTTGTTTGAGTTTCAAAAGAGCAATTTTTTCTTCTTTCCAACAGCTATGCTAAGAAGAAAATCAACACCCACAAGCAGATTTCTCTCATTTTTCACCAAAAATATTTCTTGCAATTTGGCTAATTAAAAAAATAGGCTGGCAAAGATGTAGCTTTGGACAAAAAGAAAGACTTTGACGAGTTGTTAGCCAAATGGAAAAAAGGATTGTCATACTCTCATAGCAATAATTTAAAGCTCAACATGACAAGAAAATGTTCCCATTTTTCCTTTATTTGGAAAATAATCTTCCCCGATTTCTGATCAGTTTCCAAGAAATTGTGTTTAGTTCAGCCTTTTTGTATATCTTCCAAAACTTCTTTAAAATGTCTCACATAGAGAACGCAAAAGAGTAAAACTACAAAATCATAGTTTCGAACTGCAATCACAATGGTGAGCAAAAACAAATTCGGTTTGAAATATGAAGATCAAAATCAATTTTCAAAATGTAGAAACCAAAACTAATTCCAAGATCAATTATGGGGTTGGTTTCGGCAATCACTGTCTTTTTAATTTATTTATCGAAAATGTTTTATAAACCAACACCCACTAATAATACAGTGCTGATAAATTTGAGATCTTAAAAGTTTCTAGAGCTAATAAATTTAAGATTTTGAAGTTGAAACTTTTACTTTTAAAATTTTTGGTTGATTTTTCCATAAAGAAAAGTTGAAATTTGAAAAAATAGAGTTGATCACACGAATAAGCAGATTGGAAACTGGCGTAGAAGGGATATTTTCAATGTCAAAATTTTAGAAAACATTACCTAAAAATGAGGAATTAAAGTGATAATTTGTGTTACCCAATAAAAGAAGAGGAAACGTTTTGCTACAGAGTGAAGATTTGCTTCATGAATTAGAGTTAGGTAACACTGTTAGTTTTTGAACACATTCTATCACTAAGACTAAAGGTGCTCTACTTTAACATACTTAAGGGATTAAATATGTTCAGGATTATATTTGAGGGACAAAAATTAATCTATCCTCAAAGGTACGAGATAGTATTGGTCAAAAACTCGACTTTGACTATACTTTTTTTTAAAAGAAGACTTTGACTATCTACACAAGAGAAACAAAGACAAATACATTATGAAACAATATATAACAATCATCCAAATAAGTTGTTAGTCCTTTTGGATTGTAAGGGCATTATCTTTTAGAGCTCTTTATAATTTGGATTGAGTACAACCTTTGTGATTTTTTGCTGGAGCTCGGTTGTTGTATAATGAAGCCGAACCTATTTTGTAATATGGCCTAATTGGCTTTATAAGAAAATGATGATTGTTTCTTTATTGTAAAATCCAACTCATTCTTTGTTGGCAAATAGTCATGCGCGTATAAGAAAGATGTGTTTGGCAGAGATTTATTCTTGGCAACCAAGTTTGGATTAGTGGGGGAGATCTCTTGCAAGTTGGCAACTTGCCTTTGTGAACTTGCAAGACTTAGTTCAATTTCTCCTATAAATATTGTTGTTGCTCTTCTTTTTAAAACACACCAACAATTGAAGAGTCTTTATTCTTTTGTCTTTCTCTCCTCCTATATTGAGAGTATTTTGTAAGAGAGTTGAGTATTTGGAAAGACTTGTGTGATCCTTTTCTTTGGAATAATCTTGTGAGGTTATTCTCTCAGGGTTATTTGGGACTAATTAGAGTATTTACTCTAATTTTGTACTCTTGTTGATATAGTAAAATTGCTCCTCTTCGCTTGTGGACGTAAGTCACCTTGACCAAACTACATTAAATATGTGCCTTCTTTATCTGCTTTAATTGACGTTATTATCAACTTGCATTGTCATTATAATATTGTTTGGCTAAATTCTAAACTACCCGGGTTTCTGATCCTAACAAATTGGTATCAGAGCCTAATCTAACCGGGTTTGTTTCAGTAGTCAATATGACTCTAACAAAGACTTATGTTGATAAATTTGATCAAAGTGCAAACTTCAAAATGTGACAATTAAAGATGGAAGCTATCCTAATTCAGGATGGCTTAGATTTGGCACTGCAAGGAAAGGAGAAGAAGCCGGATAAAATAACAAACGGGGAGTTTGCTGTCATTGACAAAAAAGCAAAAGCATGTATCATTTTAAATCTCTCAAATGAGGTTTTGCGTGAAGTTGCTACAGAAAGCTCAGCCAAAGGTATATGGGAAAAGCTGAAAACTTTGTATATGAAAAGAACAGTAGAAAACGGATTTTACCTAAAGCAAAAATTCTACACTTTTTGTATGGCTGAAGGTACATCTATACTTACACATATTGATATTTTTTATTCTCTTCTTATGGATTTAAGTAACATAGATGTTAAAATCAAAGATGAGGATCAAGCTGTGTTATTGTTTGTTTCCTTACCCCAGTCATTTAAGCATATACGAGATATTATACTTTATGGAAAGGATAATATCTCTTATAAAGATATCAAATCTATTTTGAAATCAAAACAACAAATAGATAGAGATATTACTAGGAAAACTAGTGGGAACCAAGGGGAAGACTTATTTATAAGAGATAGATCCAATAAAAAAGATTCAAGTAGTGAGAGGCCTAAATCAAGATACAGAAATGTCATGTGCAAATACTATCATAAGAAAGGCCATATTATTTCTGAATGCTTTAGGTTGAAAAACAAAGAAAACCATACATAAAAGAAAAATGAGCACAAAAATACTGACAGTGCCGAAGCAAGTGTAGTTGCTGATGAGACTGAGGGAACTATTTTTTCGCAACTTATAATAGTTTCAAATCTAACAATGAGTGGATTTTAGATTCGGGTTGTTCTTATCATATATGCTCCAATCGAGATTTATTTACCACATATGAATCTATTGGAGGTGAAGTTATCTTGATGGGCAACAATGCTACCTGCGAAGTTATTGAAAAGGGTACTGTCCGAATCAAAATGCATGATGGTGTGGTGAGAACTCTCACCGATGTTAAAATGTTCCTGACTTGAAGAAAAATCTCATCTCTTTGGGCACTCTATAATCTCTTGGGTGCAAGTACATTGGTGAAGGTGGAGTTCTGAAAGTTTCTCATGGTGCTCTTGTAATCATGAAAGCACGCAGATTTGGTACATTGTATACTCTATTGGGATCTATTGTTACAAGTGTTGCTGCAGTTTCAACATCAGATAAATCAGATTCTAACATTACCAAATTATGGCATATAAGAGAAAAAATTCTTTCCATCCTCAGTAAAAGAGGTCTATTGTGTGGACAAAGTACCGAAAATATGGAGTTTTGTAAATATTGTGTGTTCAGGAAGCAGAAACAAGTCAGCTTAGAATCTCCAGCAATTCATAGAACAAAAGAAATTGCTCGACACCGTACTGTGAGAATGACACCTCATCAAAATGGTGTGGCGGAAAGGATGAATAGAACTATTTTGGAAAGGGCTCGTTGCATGATTTCAAATGTTGGGTTGACAAACGCCTTTTGGGCAGAAGCTATCCCTACAGCTTGTTATATTGTCAACTGTGCTCCTTATGCATCCTTAAATTTTAAGACTCCAGAGGAAATATGGTCAGGTACTCCTGCTAATTATTTTGATTTAAAGATATTTGGTTGCCCTGCATACATGCATGTAAATGATGAAAAATTAGAGCCAAGGGATAAAAGGTGCATTTTCCTTGGGTATGCATCTGGGGTGAAAGGATACCGACTATGGTATCTTGATCCCTTGACACCAAAGTTTATAATTAGCAGAGATGTAACCTTTGATGAATCCTTTATGTTACACCAGAAAAGAGTCTTCTAGTTCTTGTAATACATATAAAGGGAAGAGCAACCAGAAGCAGGTGGAGGTTGAGATTGGTATTCCTTCTAAGACAAGCTCATCAACGTATGAGCAAAATATAGTTGAAACTCCTGAAGTTGAGCTAGACGCTGAAATTCCTAAAGTTGAGACTACTGAATTTGAACAGGAAGAAGAGAAATATTCCATAGCCAAACATAAACCAAGAAGAGAAAGTAAACAACCATTAAGTTTTGGAGATTATGTCGCATTTGCCTTTTCAGTTACACAGGAAACTAAGGAAATTGGAGAACCATCAAAATATTCAGAAGCATTTTCTGGTGCTGATTCAGCCAAGTGGTTGGTTGCAATGAATGAAGAAATTAAGTCTCTCCACAAGAATGATACTTGGTCTCTTGTGAAGCCGCCATCAAGAAAGAGAATTGTTGGTTGCAAATGGGTCTTCAAGAAAAAAATGGCATTCCATGGGTTGAAGATTCAAGGTATAAGGCACGATTAGTTGCAAAGGGTTATAGTCAGATAAAATGAGTTTATTTTAATGATATTTTCTCACATGTTGTTAAACATAGCTCTATTCGTATCTTGCTTGCCTTAGTTTTCATGTATAATTTTGAATTAGAACAACTTGATGTTAAGACAACTTTCTTATATGGCGAACTTGAGGAACAAATTTACATGCATGAACCCGAAGGATTTGAAGTTAAAGGAAAAGAAGATCATGTTTGCTTCTTGAAGAAATCCTTATAAGGATTAAAGCAGTCTCCAAGACAATGGTATAAAAGATTTGATTCCTTTATGTTGGGTCATGGTTATTCGAGGAGCATGTATGATAGTTGTGTTTACTTCCGGAAGTTAAATGATGGTTCATTTATGTACCTATTATTATATGTTGATGACATGCTCATTGCTGCTAAGGATTTGGCAGAAATTCGCAATTTGAAAAGTCAGGTGAAAAGTGAATTTGAGATGAAAGATTTGGGAGCAACTAAGAAAATCTTTGGTATGGAGATCAAAAGAGATCGAGGAGCCAACATGCTATTCCTGACCCAGAAGAAGTACTTGGAGAAAGTCTTGGAGAGGTTTGGCATGAAAGATGCTAAGCCAGTAAGTACCTCTCTTGCTGCTCATTTTAAGTTATCAGTTGCTTATTCACCGCAGTCAGAGGAAGAAGAGAGGTATATGGCATAAGTACCTTATTCCCGTGCAGTTGGTTGTATTATGTATGCAATAGTTTGTACTCGTCCAGACATTTCACAAGCAGTGAGTGTGGTAAGCCGGTATATGGCTTGCCCTGGTAAAGCACATTGGCAGGTTGTGAAATGGATTCTCAGATACATGCGAGGTACTTCAAACACATGCTTGGAGTTTGGGAGAAATACTAAAACTTTGGTTGGTTTTGTGAACTCAGATTATGCAGGTGATCTTGACAAAACAAGATCACTGAGAGACTATGTATTTTACATTGGCGGTTGCGCTATCAATTGGAAAGCTACATTACAATATGTAGTAGCTTTATCTACTACCGAAGCATAATATATGGCAGTGACCGAGGCGATCAAAGAATCCTTATAGTTGAAGGGTCTATTTTCTAAACTCAGTTTATACCAAGATGGTATTACTATTTTCTGTGATAGCCAAAGTGCTACACTTGAGTAAAGATCACATGTATCAGGAGAGGACGAAGCACATTGATATCAAATATCACTTCATCCGAGAAACCATTATTGATGGAAAAGTCTCTATTAAGAAGATCAACACTAGAGACAATCCTGCTGACATGTTCACAAAGCCTCTTCCCGTTAGTAAGTTCAAGTTCTACTTGGACTTAATTTCCATTTATGAAGACTAATTTAGCCCATATAGGCTTTTGCGGGAAAAGTGGAGAAAATTTACTATATTATCCAAAATTAGGTCAAGGTGGAGATTTGTAATATGACCTAATTGGCTTTAAAAGAAAAGGATGATTGTTTCTTTATTGTAAAATCCAACTCATTATTTGTTGGCAAATAAGCATGTGCCTATAAGAATGATTTGCTTGTCCACCAAGTTTGGATTAGTGGTGGAGATCTCTTGCAAGTTGGCAACTTGCCTTTGTGAACTTGGAAGACTTAGTTCAATTTCTCCTAAAAATACAGTTGTTGCTCTCCTTTTCTAAATACACCAATATTTCAAGAGTCTTTATTCTCTTGTCTTTCTCTCCTCCTATATTGAGAGTATTTTGTAAGAAAGTTGAGTATTGGGAGACATTTGTGTAATCCTTTTCTTTAGAGAGATCTTGTGAGGTTATTCTCTCAGGGTTATTTGGGACTAATTAAAGTATTTACTCTAATTTTGTACTCTCTTTTGTACTCTTGTTGGTATAGTAAAATTGCCCATCTCCGCGTTATTATTAACTTGCATTGTCATTGTTATTGTCATTATAACTGTTTACCCTCAAAATCGGATAATAATTAAATTTATACATGGTTTTAAGGATACGTGATATAACTTGATACAAAGTGAGAAATCAGATTAACGTGGAAGTAAACAATATAAAGATAAGTGCAACCTTCGCCAATTGAGCAAACTTTAGCCTTGTGAGGTAAATCTACCTTTATCTAGAAATGATATTGTGGATGCGAGAATAGAATGAGCTGTGACAAAGCTAGAAATAACAGTATATTATTTTTTGATATATGTTACAATGTGTTTTAGGAATTGCTAAGCCCCCCCTATATTGAGGGGGATCTACCTTTATAGACATTATTTCATAAGAAACATGAGTCCTTGATTTTGGAGATTGTTGACTCCGTTTTTGACTAATTCAGTGATTTCTACCATAATGATTGGTTAATGGCGAGAATTACAGACCACTGTCGGATGAGTTAGCAAAGCTTTTCTTTGAGGCCGTTAGAAACAAGACTTTTATGCCTTCGATAAACTCGAGGGCAAATCCGATGATCTCGATGGCTAGTTTTGAAGATGCTATTGAGTCTAATAGTATCATATTCCAATCTTGGATGATGTTGTTGGACATCAGATCGAACTTCGAACTTCGATATTGAGCTCGGTTTTACCCGTAACTTCGATTTCTATCCGATTACAGATGTGTCGACCCTGTCCTACTGTTTCAGATGCTCGACTGAGCATTGAGCTCGATTTTACCCGTATACAGATAGTCCCCTCATTTTTTAGAGAGTAGGCGATGAGAAACGATATGAGCCCTCGGTTTTCACTTCAATAAATCATGACGTAAGCGACAAAAGGTAACTAAAACGTCCCGTCGGTCCAGTCGGTCCAGTCTTCAAGGCATTAAATGTGTGTCAGTTAATGGTCGGCTATCTCGGGATGTGAACTGTTTCTTTGAGAAAACTATAAATATCCTTCAACCCATTCATTAGAACCTTTGCATTCAAACTCTTCTTGTGTTCTTAAGAAAGCTTCATCACCTTTATCTTCTAGTTTTCTAGCTTAGCCTCAAAACTTCTTCTTTTATAGTTCTTTGAAAATTTGCATAAGTTATCTGCTAAGCTCGCCTCCTCTTTTACCAACACTTTCTTTTCTCCACTGTTTATAAGAAATGGCAAAGACTTCAAAATCCGTTCCTCAAAAAGAAAAACCTTCTTCCTCGAAACCATTTGAGAACGTTCTGCCTACTGCTACTGAGGAATCGATACCGGAACCCTCTCTGAAGTTGTACATCCTTGCGGGGTGTCCGACCGGGGCCTACTTCAAGATTGAGAAGACCTTATGGTACCGGGTCGGTGCGAGCCAATCTCGAGGTACATATGTACGATTACTGCCAGTGTCCTCGATAAGGTCAAAGAGGACTAAAACTGGGTGGATAAACTCATAGTGGTCCCTACCCCTGAGGAATCGATCACCACCCAATTGGAGGGTTTTTTAAGTATTTACACTTACCCATTCACGCTGGGTCCTTTAGATCCAGTTATCATAACCTTTTGCAAAAGGTATGAGGTGACCCTCGGGCAGATTCGTCCTTCATTTTGGAGGATCGTTATTCTTCTTCGTTTCTTTGTGAGCAAGGTCGAGAGGTGTCCATTTACCATCAACCACCTCATGCACTTGTATAGCCCTCGACTTTACCGAGGAGGGTTAATCACGTCGAGCCACTAAGGCATTATTCTCGAGCATTGACGAGGATCGGGACCGGGGCTGGTTGGGCCAATTTGTTCGAGTGAGGACCTCGGACTTAATCCCGGTTGCTGACATACCATTTCTTGAGAAATGAAATATGAAATGTAAGTATAACTTTGCCTTCAAGGTTTCTTTTAGTGCTTTTCTCTTCCCTCCTTTCTCATTGATGTTATCTGATGATGAAGTTGTTGCCTATATGCCGGATGCCGTTCCTCGACCCAAGGAGTGGGTCAAGGACATTACGACACAAAGACATTAC